ATGCACCATTTGCAAAAGTCCTATAACTTCCTGAAGAGAGACAGAGAGATGCCTGGTCAGATTCTAGCTGCCCCAGCTCCTCCTACTATTGGGTTCTTATTGCACAAAAGACCTAATATCACTATGGAGGAAGCAGGGTGAGAAAACTTCCCAGTTACTTCCATAGGAAAGGAAAGCAAATTCAGAAGGAGAAATTAAAGATGCAGGGAATCAATCCCAGAGAGAAGTGCTGGACCCTAATCAACTGTATAATAAGTACATGGTAACCTTGGACTCCCAACTCAATTCACTGACCACTGCTGCTGTAAGAGAGCCTGGAATTTTGTTTGTTGCCCTTCTCTGTGAGAGAGAGAAGAGAAGGGATCGTCTCTAAAGTTAGTGCTCACTCAAAAGTGGGAGACAAAATCCAGAATGATATGAATTATTTTAGCTTCTAAGTAATCAAAGCTCACTTAGGAGAAGCTATTAAAAATTTACTATCTTTCTTATAAAATGAACATATATTAATTATAAAATAAAATAGAAAATAACGGTTAAAATATGAAATAACCTTACTTTATTTTTACTACTCAGATAGTCATTTATAAATAGTTAAGAATCTCAGTTGCTGGCAGCATAATCTACCATAGTTTAAGCAAAACTATCTTTAAATAAGACATATTTGGATGGGCCAAGAAATATTGCTTTTGATTTTGACAGGTAGAGAAGCTCTTAGTGGTGTCCACTTGACACTTCTTTCTAAATGGTCCTTATTACACAGGTCAAGGAGTCAATATGAAGTCTCTACCAGTTGCTTAATACATTTATTTTAATTATATTATTCAAAAACTGAAAAAATAATGACAGATGCTTTATAGCAAAGTTTATAATCAAGAATCTTAAGTCTTCCAAGTTTATCTTTTTTGAGATTGTTTTGGCTAGTCTAGGTCACTGCAATTCCATGTAGGATTACTTTTTCAGTTTCTGCCAAAAAAAAAATAATAATAATAATAAGCAGGCTGGGGTTTCAGTAGGAACCACATTGAACTGTAGGTAAATTTCAGAGAGAATTGCTATTTAACAATATTAAGTCTTCTGATCCATGAACATGGGATGCCATTTATTTAGATCTTCTTTAATTGATTTTGGCTGTATTTGTAGTCTTCAATGAATAAATATGAACTTTTTTGTTACATTTATTCAAGTATTGTTTAACGTTATTGTAAATTGAGTTGTTTGTTAAGTTTATTTTCATATTGTTTATTGCTAATGTATAGAAATACATTTGATTTTTATACACTGATCTTGTATCCTGTAACACTGCTAAAATTATGTACTAACTCTAATAGTCACAGCTTTTCAAAGCTCTCTGGGGACATCTCAGTGCACAGATCTCTCTGAGTTTTTTTTGCCAGTTTCTTGTTTGTCTCAGCTGGCACTGCAGCCTCAGGCGGCTGTAATGGTAAACAGTTGCTGCTGATTGTTTTCCCCAAAGCCCTGTGCATAGGACTTCTCAAAAAAAGAGAGCTCTGAGTCAATTCAAGTAACAACAGTGGGGCTTTTGCTAAGAAGATGTGAGATAGGTCAGATTGTAGAAATGTGATGTGAATGAGAATTTCTAAGGAGCTTCAAATGCAGGATGTCCCCTCCAAGGGCTGCTAGGCTCCTGGTTTTCAAAGCTACTGCAGCTTTAAGGCTAGATAGTGGAGGATAGAAGGAAGGGAATAGACCAAGATAAAGTGCCACAAACTGCTGTTCTTACCAAAGTTCAGATTTTCTTGAAGAAACATTCCTCATACCGTTGCAAAAATCTAGTTAATTTTCAGAGTTCCAAAAACACTAATTTAGACTATTGTTGCTAGCGTTTTGTTCCCGTCAAGGAGGAAAATATTTGCAAAAGTCCTCACTCCACCATGCTGGAAGTCCTACCTCACTTTTTGTTTTTAAAAGAAATTGATTTATCAATCATTGGAATGTAGTACGCATGTTCTATTAAACTCTTAATTTTTTCACTTAATCGGATATCAGAGATAATTATTAAAAATATTTTCATGTCTGCAAACCTACATATAAATAATAATTTTATGTTTCTTCCTTTGAGTGAATGCTCTATTCAATGATAATTATGATTCTGCATGCTTATGGGCACTAATCTTACTTCATTTTACAAAAGCTGATAGGCAATTAAATAAATATAACAAAACATAGGATATATTAAAGGAATCATAACAGTGTATAGTAAGGGCCATTCAATTAGTTTGGGGTGGGAACGGAGAGGTGTTAAGAAGATTTTCTTAAGAAAAAAATGTCATTTAAACAGAATTTCAAAGGATGAGCAAGAACTAACTTGGCAATTTATAGGAAGACTACCATTTAGGCAGGACCCAAAGGCCTAAAAGTGAGAAAAATTATTCATTATGGCTGGTAAGTAGGAAACAGGGGGAAGTGGAGAGAGATCCGGTTGGAGTGGTAGGAGGGGCAAGAGGGAGCCTGAGGTCACAGAAACAGAACGGCATTCTAGAAGGGTGTGGACATTGGGCAAGAGTGTGTATAGAAAAGTGAGAAAGGAGACACTGGCAGAAATGCTAATGGAAAATGGCGTTGCCTTGGCCAAAGTAACAAAGCTCGTGAGGACACAGAGGAGTAGACAGATCCAGGGAACTGCAGCCACAGAACTCCCAGGGCCGTGGAGGGCAGGAGGGGATCAACACTGAGTCTTGGGTTTTTGGTTGGCAAATACTGAGTTGAAGGTCATCTCAATTGGGAGGCAGAGTTCTTTTTTTAGGAAAATATTACCAATTTTATTTTCTGATGTGTATCCCTTGTGGCACATGTGAGATACCCAGTTTCAGATGTTCAACGAAGATTTTGCAAATGAATTAGGATTTCAGAAAAGAGATCTGGGCAATAATGAAAATTTAAGAATCATCAGCATAAAATTGAACATTAAAAGCGTGGGCAGGGGTGAGAAGAAGCAGACGGCCCACAGGGGCAGATGGGCGTCAGCGGGAGGCTCTTTTCTCCCTCCCTCCCTCCTCCTCTTTTCCTTTTGGTATGTATTATTTTCGTGTTCAGTTTTTTTCTTTAAGCTTGGGGAGATTTGAACACATTTAAAAGTTGATAAGCAGGAGCTAATAGAAAGTGAGAAAGTTGAAAATGGAAAATGCTGGAAAGTAATTAGTTGATACAAGGAAGCAAAGACCCTGGTTAGTCTCTGTACCCAGGACGTCCTTTCCCTGAGCTGACATATAGTTGGTGATCAAAAACAGAAAATAATGTGATAGAAATCATCTCTAGCCCTTCCATGGCCAACTATAATTTAATCAAAATCAGTTGCTCAACTCACCATGAAGGTGGATTTTCTTCGATTCAGAGCTTCTGTAAGGGAAAGAAAACGCTCAAGTCTGGAGCTCCAGGTAGCTCTAAGCTTTTCTTTTTTTCTTTTTTTTTTCCAGGATAAAATCTTTTTATTATAAGAAATTTTTTTTTACTATAGCTGATATACAATACTATTCTGGTTTCAAGTGTACAACACAGTGACTCAACAGTTACCCACATTATTAAATCCTCCCCTCAACTAGTGCAGTTACTCTCTGTCAACAGAGAAAGATGTAACAGAATCATTGTCTATATTCTCTGTGCTGCACTGGCATCTCTGTGGCCAATTTATATTATTACTGACATTTTGTGTCTAGGCCTTTCTTCTTAAAAGGTCCCTATGGTGAGGGATCAGGTACTTTTCTCTGCCTGCCAAGTATCTTGTTGGTCAGGACACATTCAGGACCAGCCAAAGCCGGCAGATTCCTGATGCCAATTTAAGGCTTCATTAAGATCTAATTCTCCACTCAGAACTCAACCCCCCTAAGGCTAGGAAAATCATGTGTCTGTCATTTTTCTTATAGTCACAGACAGCTTGACTCATTTTCTGATACCAATACTTCATTTAGCATGTAATCAAGTCATTGTCCTCTGTTAGTGTTACCTGCTCTTACAGACCTACCTTCTGATATGTAGTAGCTCTTTATTGCATATAGTGATCAAAGGCAACATAATCCACAAGCAGCTACATCAATCAATGCGACAGTAGTATCTTTTGTGGAGTGACTGTAACCCAACCCAAGAAGTTGTATCCTACTTCTGACACACTGACTCATCCTGAGCCAGTCTGTGACTCTTCCAGTCTGTCAGATCTTGATCTTCTAGGCTCCAGAGTAGTATGAGTAGAAACTATCCCTGTGGGAGCCTTTAATTAGCATCATTCCCCGCACATCACAGGATAAAAGCAACACGCAGTGCAGCACCACCATCTCTGGAGACTGACTAGGCAAAGTCACCCGGGAAACCCCGGATTCCTGGAGGGCTGCAGCCTCATTTACAGCTGTGTCTTCTGTCCTCCCAGCTCTGCAGAGGACAAAGAAGAAGGAAAGAAGGAAAGGAGACAGCCATCAGAAAGGAGAGATGCATATGGAAGCTGCCTAACAACCCAGTGAGAGAACATTTTTTTTATGTTTTAGGCATTAAGCTGAGTCTTATAACATAACTTGCTTGTATTACTTAAAAAGGGTGTCAGAAAAAGGCCTGGAAATGTTTGTACCAGTGTCAAAATAAGCAGTGAATGAATTGCAAGCACATCAAAAACAGGACTAGCTTTCTCCAAATGATGTAGTAGCTCTGCCTTCTGCAATCCTTAGACCCTGCAGGAGAGGGCTGAGGGAAAACTAGTGACACTCTAAGCCTCTCACTTTGAAATCACTCAGCACAGGAGATAATTATGATAATGCACACAACCGCTTTTTCTTCTGCCAATGTTCTTTTTCATCTCCCTATTGTTTTCTCCAATGACACGATAGTAGTCATCCGAGTTCCCTCTTTTTCTAATATCATTAATGCTCACTGAACCACATTTAATTAAGGGAATGTATATTGATACACATAGCATAATCAGGTCAGGACTGGAGCTGAAATTGATTGAGGACAGCTCTTTCACACTTATTTCAATTTATGAATGCTCAGGCGCAGACAGATAGCGAAAAGGATTTAATTTCCGTTTGTGTTGTTTGCACATTCTTTATAATGTAAGCATTAATTGAACATGCCCAGTGTCAGTATGGAGCAATCAAGCATATCCATTCTTCATAAATGAAGGTCACAGGTCAATCTTGAGCAAGTTCCAAGCAATCTAGTTCTAGACATGTATTTATATTTGATCAGCTATAATATAAAAGACGAGACATCTGCAAAATTAACACCAGCAGAGCAACGCAGCCTCGCCCACAGCACGGCATCTTCTGGGAAGCGAGCGCCAAAGGTCTGCAGCTCTGGGCTTTGGAACATTTGGGTCCTCGAGCTTTTCTGAGATGCTCTTCAGTTTGCTTCTTGATGTCACTGCAAACGATGAATCCAGATTCTGAGCCTGGGCGAGGAAATTGTTAGCTAAGATTTCATTTGAGGATGAGGGGCTGCCGATATAAGTCCACAAAAAACTGTCCGTTCAGTCCACAAATACTCTTGAAGGGCTTACCATTCACTGAGCGCTCTATTGGGCACACTTCATATAAACTGCACGTTTTCCAGATGAATGTGTAGCTATTTTTTCAAATGTATGAAGATATAAGCTTTTCATTTAAAATAATGATTTATCATAGCCTTTGGTCATTATGTATTTTCCCAATTTGATGTTAAAATGCTTATAGTTTGCAACATTGACTGTGGATTCGAATATTCTGCTCATTTCTGGGATTTTTAGCCTAAGGCTTTGACTTAAAATTAACACATATATTTCTTAAAACTCAACCCAAGTTCCCACATCTCGCTCTAATAATTCTACAATAGAAATGAGTCACACTTGCTGCTCCTGTGTAAAAATGTGCACAATCTCTCACATCTAGAGAAATGTTCTCCATATGCTAAGCTCACAGCAATAAGAAAAAGAAATGGGGAGGTTTCTGAAATTCTCTTCTCCCCTGAAAGTAAGCATTTTACCCACACAAGCAACCTTACCTATTTGTGCCTTCATCAGCAAATGTAATTTTGCTCATTGCCTCAGAGACATTAAAATATTGACTCCTTCTTGCATCTTCTTATTCTGTCCCTAGGATTTCCAAGAGTTTCATGTCCTACAGTATTGTAAAGTCATTTTATATGTTACTCTAAACAGCATGTGGCCAGTTAGTTGGGCAATATAGCACTGAAGTTTGCATGTGATTTCAAGTTTTTGATCTTCATAAAGGCCTTGTTGACAAGTTAATAGGAACAATGGCTGTCATGAGAGCTATTCTGGGTCACATTCCATATTTGTATCTTGCTTGACCTACAAAAAAAAATGACATAAAGATCATTTGGAAGTATTAGAGTCAGACAAATATTTAAAATATTACTTGTTAATTTGATTCAAGAAGTCAGTGAAAGCGAAGTCATTGATGAAAATCACAAATTGAAGAAGAAATATGAAAAAGTGAAGGAAAAATGTAACTTACCCTTGTGAAACCTATATTCCAAATTGATTTCCTATCTTAATTTGTAAAAATTAAGTGACTAACTCCATGCTTTGAAAAATAACTACCCTTGAAAGTGGATCCACAATGAAAATATTACAATCAATGGAAAATTCTCAGTATAGAGTGTATTTGTGGGAACGGAAGTCTTTTTTGCCCCATTCCCTTGCCTAAAACACGGCTGCAAAGAGGGCAAACACCTTCAGATTCTTTAAAAACCAAACTTACCATTAGAAATAGTTTGGTGACTTTATCTGCGGAACATACTGAGGTTTGTCTAACCTTTACTGTGTGTTCCATCTCTCAGACAAACATCAAATATTTGTATATTTAGTCATGTGAATGACATGGAAATTCTCTGACTTCCTGGTCTCATGTGGGTTTCTTTAACAAATTCATCTTTGCTCCAAGTCTTAAAATTTCAAGGAAAAAGATGTTGCAGCCCATGCAATAGGAATAGGGGTCATTGTTAAGAGGTTAAGAAAAAGAACCAGGAAGAAGTAGATGCCCTAAATGTCCAGCCTCCGAGGAGCAGCAGTGTATGTTGGATGTGACTCCACCATGTGTCAGCCTGAGATTTGCACTCTGAGAAGGAAGAAATTCTTAACGTGACAGATTTCAGGGGAACCACAGTGCCGATTCCAATTGGAGGGTCCTCATGGTGAGCAATATGCACAAAGCCTCTAAACATTTTAGATGAAAGAAAAATGTTGTGGGTGGTGTCTTACTGGACAAACAGAGTAGGGGTTGGAAGCTGTATGAGAAGATGAGTGGGAATTGGCCTGAGAGGAGTTATTAAAAGCTTTCTCACTTAGAACTAGAGCCCCTACAGGCTGCTTCTGGATCTGGAAGGGCCGCAGGTCTCATCACGCTGTGGCTTGTCAAATAGTTTCAGAAGCACCGGACTCCAATTCCAGACTCGAGCAGGTAAGCAAGGTTTTCTCTGAACGAAAAAAGACAATCAATGGAAAATGATTCATACAAGGAAGAGAGCAGGTAGCTCATGTAAAGATTAAATATTTTTGAACTGGTATTTTTTGTTTTTTTCTCTCTGGTGGCAAAATAAGCAGAAAAACAAATAAGAACAGAGTAGTCAATATTTTTTGGGGGTAGGTGATGTACAACTAAATTAACAAGTGGAAGGCTTACTGGATGTTTCCAATTAAATTTCGAAATGACTGATCAATATGATGTATTTGCCTTTCTATGCCATGAAATTATTGGAATTTGCTTATCTTTCCTTTTCTTCTAGCCATTAGTTTCCTAGAGGAAAGCAGTGATTATCAGTCAGCACCAGAATTCTATTTTCCTAACATATGTAACTTTTATTTTCATTCATTTGGAATGTATTTAAGTAGTGATTTCCTTGGGAACAAAAGACAGCTGATCTTTACAGGACTCTCTTAAACAATTTTCCCTAGAAATATACTAAAAGAGCATGTAACTTTATTTCCGAAGTACAGAGAGTAACCAATTAAAACAAAATTGCAAATAGGATGCTAGGTTGTATTAAGCCAAAAGTAAAAGGAATATAAAAAATTTTTTGCCAAAAGTCTGATTCATACTCATAACTTCTAATCTACTACATCAAAGATTTACAAAAAATATGGCCTGGGGTCCAATCCTGGCCTGTGTTTGTAAAAAAGAACTGTATGGGAACACAACCATGTCTGTTCATACATATGTATTAACTGCTCTGGCCCTAACTGGCAGAATCGACTGATTGCGACACTGGCCCATATGGCTTCCAAAGTCAAAAACGTTTCTATCTGGCTCTGCAGAAATGGTTGGCTACCCTCTGTACTAAATGCAAAGATCTGACGCCAGAATAAATTTAAATGGTATGGAATTTCTGATTTTTCTTTTCACTCTGTTATTCCATCTTTAAACTGCAGTGAGGACTAATTTTGGGTGAAGCTTTCTGCAAATACATGACACATATATTCTTATGTATACCTCAAGACTTCTCTGTGAGAGAGATAATTTTAATCCCCACTTACTTAAGTCAAAATAGATTCAAGTAATTTAGGAAGATTTTCCTGTCAGAAAGCTAACAGCAGAGAAGGAACCTTTTCCAAACATATTCTGGTATTTTCAGTGAATGAATCCTCAGCTCACAGAAGAATCGGGTATGGAAAGTCAATTCTTCCCACCCTGTTTTGTCATCTGTTTTGGTTTGTTTTGCCTAGTAGCACCCTTTAGAACTTTATAGTGAATACTGAATATCTGTTTTGAATGTTGTATCTATTTTTAGATGAATCATAACCTCTCATTTTTAATGTCTATTCTGTACAGAAACCACTGATGTGCAATTGTGAATCAGTCTTACATGTGCTCTTGTTTTCCAGTGTGAGTGTAAATAAAGTTTACATAGTTATTATTTTTTGTATCTTTTCACATCAGTTCCTCTTTCTGCATGTGTATCTTTTTGCAGATTGGATAGTATTATTTCTTAGCATTCCTAATTTCATAGCAATAACCCATTGTTGTCAAGTGACAGGACCATGTGAATGAACGTCTATACAGAACCTGCTACCCTTAATGCCTTCGCTGCACAGGGACCCCGGCTGTACAGAACCCTGTCCTGAACACGGTTCCATGCTGAGTACTCAGCAGGGGTGGGTATCGTCCCTAAGGAGCGCACAGCCTTCTGGGGGAGCAGAGAGGTGAACAGATCACTTCCGCACTGACGGGAGCACACTGATTAGACTAGGTCCAAGGTCCAAGAGCACCTCAAAGGTGGGGAGTCCCCTGCGGGGGCTCTGGTGCTAAGTGAGGAAAGGCTTTGTGGGCAAAGAAAGAGCCAAGTTCACCCCTGAAGACTAAGGAAGGATTATCAGCACATGAGGGAGATGGCGATGGTGGGCGTGGGGGCTGGAGCGCAGGACCGGGCAAGGATGGATGCAGGGGTGTGCAAGCAGTCTGGTGTTGGTGGGGCTTCTAGGTGAGCAGGGGAGTCCCACTGGTGAGGCTGGAATGGCAGGCAGAGGTAAGTCACAGCTCTTACAGGTGATGCGTGGGGCTTAGACTTTATCTTGCAAGTTTCTGGTGCTCACAGCAAATGCCAATCACATGCACAATCATATTCTTATTTGGCTGTATTTGGAGAGTATAAATGAAGAAGCAAAGAAGAAAAGAACACTGATTAGGACATTATTAATATAATTAAGAGAAAGATTACCTGAGACTGAACTATGGAGTCTGACACAGACAATAGGGATCAGGAAAGGGAATAAATTGGATAAATAAAATCATTCCAGAATATTATATCTGACTGAGCATAAAGGGTGCAGAGTCAGTGCAAAGGAAATTGATCATCTTCAGGTATGTTTCTGTGGATACTCAGGACATCAATGCTATACAGTTAATAGGAATAGGTTAAAAGAGCCGGGAAAAGAGGAAATGATGAAGAGCGCTGTTTTAAATATATCGAGTTTGACATGCTTCCAAGGATATTTAAGTGAGTGTGCCCAGCAGGCATTTGGATGTGTGATCTGAAACTCAGAGGTTGGGCGGTAGATATTGATTTAAAATTAATTACCGTAAAAGGCAATTACTATCTCAGTCAAGGAGGAGGTAATACAGAAGGGAAGACCATAAAAACCTTGGTGAATGGAAGTATTTCAGGGACAGCTGAAGGGATTCATAAAGGAGACTGAGAAGAGAGGCCAGAAAGCAAGGGGCAGGAGTGTGGGGCACCGCACAGACAGGAAGAAAAGGAAAGTAAGCGAAGCCGGGAGAGGAAGAGGGCGAAGGGCAGGGGGGTGAAATCAAGTCTCCACTCAGCCCCAAATTAGGAGATGGTGTGCACACCAGCTACAGCAAGTTAAGCGCAGAAAGGGTGTAGCCCTAAAAAAGAGGAGAGTTCAGGAAGCAACGTCCTAACAACAACGGTGGGCTCGAACACGGGACCCGGAGGGAGGATCACCTCTGCAGGTCACGGGAGCAGGGGGCAGAGGTAGACCCCTCAGGGTGGGCAGTGCAAGGAGGGCCACCCACTGCTGGCCCACGCCCTCTTCACGGCAATGGAGGCCTGGGGCAGGAGTGGGGTGGGACTGGCTGACGAGGTGTTTGCTGCGAATGGTGGGGCTTTGGAACAACCCCTGAGCTCCTTCTGTACAGGAGCGGGCCAAAGAGAAGTGGAAGTATCTTTGTATGGTGAGAATGAATGTTTCAAAGGCTTAACACATAGTTTAAAGTATTTTCCTCTCAAAGAAAGAATATTTGCTTTAATTCTTGTGGGCAGATATTTTGAAATATTAATAAGATGGTCTCCTGAATTTCCTAATCCTCCCCAAAACAGGCAGTAAGGGCAGTCTGTCCCAAATGCTACTTGTTTCCTCGCCACGCATGTGGTATTTTTACCATCTCTACAGGCAACCTGTAGTCTTTTTCATGCATTTTGTTCTAAATGAGTGTATTTAGTTCATGGAAAATCATTTCAAAAGCAGTCTTTACAATACAAACTGAAAAGGAAGGCACATCTTGCATTTATAAGCAGAAATTATGCGTAAAATACACCAAGTAAAAACAAAACAGAACTATGGAATTCTATCTAAATTCTATTCCCTGTGAAAGCCAGAGCAGGTGCCTCCACACTGTGGTAGCGTGTGCACGGGGGGGATTCTGTGAGTGCAAGCCCACTAGCTGGGCATTTCCTCTTTGATGTAATCAGGGATGATGGAGAATTAGAAGAGAATGACTTTTTCTCGTGTATGGGTTGCTATTTAATGCTTTGAGTCTGAATGCCTCCTAAAGCCATCTAGTATCACACAGGCAATGGTTGGCCCTCAAGGCCTGCAAGTTTTAGGGCTTATGTCTCTAGATCGGGGTGAGGTGACCACCTTGTGCACCCCAACTCCCTTCCCAGACTCAGGCATGAGACAAAGGGCACGGGGTCCCTGGGACTGCAGGGGATCCCAAGGGGAGTGAGAATGTGTAGATACCAGAACCCTGGGGGAACGGGTCCAGCTCCCGTGGCCCTGCCCAGGCTCAGCCTGCGGGAGGGGATGAAGGTGCTGGCATCCGCAGTGGTTCAGGAATCCCAGGCCCCTTCATCAGGCGTCTGAACCCATGGCCAGATGCTCAGTAGCGACGGCTGTGTTGTGTCCACGGGCCAGCACGCCTGGCTTGAGAACAAGGTGCTGAGGGGGCCCCAGGCTCTGGTCTGAAGGAGTTTTCCTGTTTAAGCAGCAGGGTTCTGGAAACCTGGGATTTTTGCCCACTGGCTTTGCAGTGTCCAGTTCACACTGGCCCATCTGCGCCCCATCGTCACACACCCCTGCTTTCTCACACTCACCTCACCTGTCTTGTTCCTGAGGAAGGCTGTGTCTGTAACCCATGGTTAGCAGACAGGCCAGAAGAGCCATGGGGTGCCCAGGGTCCCGGCATGACTGGGGGACAGGGAAATGTTTGCCTCAGTCCCTGAACTCACGAAATGCCCAGGGAAGGCCCTGACCCTGGATCATGCTTCTGCTGCCAAGCAGAATACCTTCTGGGAGTAAAATGAAGTTTAGTTCTGGAACAACATGACACCTTAGTGGCATCTTTTCCAACCGGCTTTGGTAGGTAGAGGAAACTGAATAAGAAAGTGACTAGTAAATAATTGCAGAACAGGTGTCAAAGGCTTACTTTTCAACATTTGGCTGATGGAGATAGGACAGATACACAGGGCAGGCCCCACACCCACACTCACTAGAGTGAGGCCAGGGCAATATGATCTAGTCACCATGGGGTTCTTTTCTCCAATTAAAAATTAATTCTTGAGAACCAGAAGCTAATGGGGACACAGGCTGCTGGCAGCTGCCAAGGTCCTGGAGATCGGTAACAGGACCCAGCCAGCCTATGGGGGAGTCCACGTTAGGGCAGCTGTACCAGCTTTTGGCCCTAAGCTGGGGCCACAGGATTCTTGTCTGCCTCGTCCATCATCCCCAGGGCCTGATACATGTGGGGCACTTGGTAGATGACCAACGTGTATTTGATTTGGACAGAAAGAATAGCAAAATAGTAGGAAAAAAATGGACTGCTTGGTACATTAAAATAGAGTGCTGTAAGCCAAAATTTGGGGGTGGGAATGGGCATAACAAGGTCCATATAAGCCCTAGAAGAAATACAGCATCACTCAGATGCGACCTCCTGGGACCTCCCATAACTGCCCCTCACTGAAATCCAATCCCTCTCTTGCCCCCTGCCTGTCCTGAGCCCCAGTACCCTCATCGCCTTTTGTTATTCATTCGTACCTTAGCATCTCCTGCGTGTCTCGGCTAAATGCCATCCTAGTGAGGACGGGAAATGAGAAGTGTGATCCGCCCACAGGGAAGGGCCGTCAGCGTTCCGGAGCAGCAGTGCGGGTCTCCAACAGCAGCTCTCTTGGGCACTCACGTATCCCAAGCACACAGAGCAGCTGGCACAAGGCAGGGGCTCAATAACGGATTGGTTCCCACCTGTTCCAAATATTCAATTTCCACAGCTTTCTGTGCCAAAGCAAAGTGCTCTTCCCGCACTCTGGCACGGCACGTGCTCGTGCTGTCCTTCACCTGCAGTAAAGCAAAGAAAAACTGTTACGTGGAAGTTCCATTGTATTGCATAATACACAACCCAGGCTTCATCCACCCCAGGGGAAGAAATAATAAAATCACTTTTACTTTAAGATCTAAAGTATATGACAATAGGTCCCATCTTATAAGTGATCTGGAAGTCCAGTTTTTTTCCCAGACTTCTCCACCCTTAAATCCCAAAGATGACTTATGCTTGCTCATGAATTCATTTTTGAGCACATGCCGTTGGTGACTGAAGCTGGAACTAGCTTGGGCTCCCAGATGGCTGAGTTCAGCAGGCCCTGGGGCTCCCTACTCAACTCCTTGCCCCACACCCGTGACCCTGGCTGTGCGCCCAGTGTCAGGAGAGCCACACTCAAGTCCGGCACCTTCCTCAGGCAGGGCCTGGCCCACTGCCAGTGCATTGCCATGGTCCATCCTGCCCTTGACCTGAGCGCCCCTGCAGGTGTCGCCGGCTCACCCAGTCAGGGCGCAGTGTTCTCTGCTCAAGTTCACGCTCAGCTAGTAGACTCCCACAGCACAACCGTGTGGCGGCCCATTTCTCACATTTCAGCGCTGCACGCGGCACTTAGAATCTCCTTGAATGCAGCATTTTCTGCAAGAGATGCCAAACGGCACGAACAGGCCAAACGAGTCGGCACCCAGCATCACCCAGGCAAGAAAGGCTGAAGAACCAGTTTCCCTGTCTCCAGCCTGCTAAGAAAACACCACAGGTCGGCCTCTTCTTTCCTGCACGGCATCTTTCCTCCGGACTCTCTGGTTGCCCTTCCCTGTTACGTGGTCTCTGCTGGAGCCACTGGCCCTTGGCCATGACCTAGGAACTCTCAGGCATAGAGAGAAGTCCTCAGTGTCACAGTCGCTCCACCCCCTCGGGTAAACGTGTGAAAGAAAATGGAGATGCTGGCTTGGGAGTCCGTTTACCACATGCACAGAAGGCTCGTACACCCCACATCCCTGACAAGCTTAACACACCCTTCAATCTTCATGGTTAGAAAGGACCACTCGGTTCTGTGTCCCTAGGACAAAGAGGCATATTCCTCAAAGTAAAATGCCAATCCATGAGCAAGAAAGCTGAAACTGCTTACTAGTGATCGGTTAGCAATTGTTGAACTTCAACAGTCTCATTAAAGTGCCCAGCCTATGCTGACACCCTGCTGCATTTTTAGTACATTTTCACCTTCTGGGCCCCACTTATGACAAATCATGCCAAAGATTTCTAATCTATTGGGAATCATAAAAGATGATTTTTAAGTATTTGTATTTCGGGATTAGACAAAACCAAATAGTGATTTCAGATACCTGTGCACAGACCTAGTGGACTGCCTTCCGAAAATGCGCTTCGCCAGGGGGCCTGATTTCCTCCTTCACCAAGGAAAGAGGGGAATGTCCCATCAGAGGCCCGTCTCCGCCATTCTGTCCTGGCGCTCATCAGCACATGCGGAGCAGGCCTGGGGAAACGTGGTTTAAGTGTTGCAATTCTTCTCCAGATATTTGTTCATGATCTTACGAAAGGTCTTCTTTGAATGTGGCATTTCAGTTGAGGAAGATGAGCATTTTATAAAGTACCCCTGCAATTTCAAAGAAGAAAATGAAAACAGTAATGATGATAATAAAAGGAATGAGGAAGAGCATTTTCAGTGCCCTATATAATGTTCCAGTGATACTGGTAGTTGAAAAGGAATGAAGAGGATTATCAGCTGTGCTGCGCAAGGGGCATTTTCCTCTCACAGCAAAGAGATCATCTTTCAATCCATCTGCTGTGCAGAGATGTGGGCACCAGTTGCAGCAACTTCAACTCAGTTCTTAATGGGCAAGACTAAATTAATTAATGAGAGCTTTTGAAACTGTCTGAAAACTATTATTTTTTATAATTGTTCCCTGCCAAAAAAATACAGAAAAAATTAGGTATTGAAACTATGATAAAGTGTATGCCATGTGAATTTTCTCTTCAGTGCCTGGGTTTCTCCCGAGAAGGAGGGGGTGGGGGGTAGCCCCTTGTCTCTCTCACTTTTTCAGTGAGCAAGAGGATTCATTCGATTTAAAGACTGGGTTTAAGGTTTTGTTTTGTGTTTTTGATTGACTTACTGTCAAACATTTTGGAAATTCTCTATTTTCATTTAACTTCACAGGATAGAATCATTTATGTACAGTTGTAGAAACTAAGGCTTTGATCTGTCTCTCATAAGTAGTTAAACAGCACAGTGAACACAGTGAGCCACCCAACATTTACGCTAAAAATTAGTTGTTTAGATGATATAACAACACCACGGGATCTACAACCTGGTTTAAATACTATTGTTTCTTCTGCTAATAAAAAGGACCCAACAACTAAAATCATGTTTAAGTATTTTTCAGATTTACATTTTCTCAGCATTTACAAATATCTTCCCCTTAATTTATTTCCTATGCTTAATTACACAGAAAACACTTAATTTATATACCCAAGGTTCAAATGGCCATTAAGGGGATGATACAGTTTAAAGGGAAAATTAATACAAACCATAAAGCTACAAAACTCCTAAATGATCTGCAGGAAAAAAGTTTGAACTTGGTTAACAGACTCCAGAAGCACAGACCATATATTTTTAAAAAATATATTAATTGTTATTTATCAAAATTGAAAATGTTTGTTCTGTAAAAGCCCAATAGACAAGCCACAGACCAGGAAAACCACACTTATTTGCAAACCACACTCATTTGAAAACTGTATTTGCAAGCCACACTTCCAACATGGGACTTGTATTTATCTAAAGAACTCTCAAAACTCAATAATGGAAAAACAAGGAACCCAATTAAAAAGTTAGATAGGTACTTTGCCAACAAAGGCATATTGATGGTGATTAATCATATAAAAAGATACTCCACAACAGTTGCACTAAGGAAATGCAAATTAAAAGTAAAATCTATTTGTATATTTAATAATAATAATAATAATAATAATAAAAACCTCCCAGTACTAAATGCCAGAGAGGAAACAGAGCAATTAGAGCTCTACTACGAGATTTATGGGTTATAGGAAATCACTGTGCAAATTTTGTAAATAGTGTAAACCTAAATGAAATTCAATATACACTTTATTTTAAAGGGAAGAAAATATTGCTTTACTAATAGCTGATATGCAAAGGGTTGTTGTATTATAAGCTTTAAGGAGTAAAATCAAAGCTAATGATGACATAAACAAAACCAAAGAACTTCTTGAAAATGATGGCGTCTCTACTGTAGGAGGAGATGTCAGGAAAATGTCTTCTGGTGCTCATGGGCAGGATGTGTTTTCTATTATGGTCTTGCTTATATACAAACTCTCCTTTAAGGTAAGGGGACACTGCCTACCTTAAATGTAAGACTCATATGCAATCATATTTTTATATATATGAAATTAAAAGTAAGGTTTATATTATGAGAGCCAAATAAAAACATGCCCCTCTTTCAGTAATGCCGCTTCCCTGTGATCCTTAACTTTACCGGCCAGGTCTTCTTATAGAAGAGCTCTATCACTAATACTGCAAGTTCACATGATTCATCAAACATAATATAGGTTGTATAAATCATTATAACTCAACAAGATATTATTCTGAGACCTTTATGTTTAATTAAATCTCATGTAATGTTGAATTGACTAAACTGCTTTAATGCATACATTCACAAAACCTTACTTTGCCATCTAAAACAATAAGGAAATTTCTCAAGATATAATGCCTCCATGCAGATATATAAAGGGAATGAGGTTAATTTCCACAATTATTTTATCTTCCAGTGTTGTTTAAAGATAGCACTAATTAAATAATTCTCATTGTTTCTCACAACCACACACCTCTAAAAAATAAAAGTAAATAAAAATGTTTAAAGTTCTAAAACAATTAAATTATTGGTTTTATAAATGCAAACACTTCAACGATATTTCCTAAAAAGATTTCCTATTAAAAAAGTTTACAAACACATGTAAGGTAAAGAAAAGGACTTACTATAACAGAAGTTGAATTAAATAGATGAAAAAAATAACTCCTGACAATTCAAGCAATGTTGTTGGGTGTACAAGTATTATTTAAAAGTACCAGTGAATGGGCGTATGAGTTATGTTTCTAGTGGTGTGCTAATGAAACAAAAGGAAGGAGACAATGGTTACAGAACTGTGAGTTTACCAGTGACTTTAGCCAACATCAATTTAAAGATGGATACATAAAAAAGTTAGCATCACAATGACAAATGAAAATCTATGAAGACCCTTTCTTCTTTTTCTAAAATCACAACAAAACATAAATTATCCCAGCAAGTTCCAGACCACTGTTTCTTATTATTAAGAGATGGCAAATCCAATGGTAAATATATTTTGAAAATGTGTTCTTATTTATTTACTAGAAATTCCATCATAAAACTCCATGAACCTTTTGCATATCATGAGAGTATCTCAATTTCAGGTGCTCACAGCAAATGCCAATCACATGCACAATCATATTCTTATTTGGCTGTATTTGGAGAGTATAAATGAAGAAGCAAAGAAGAAAAGAACACTGATTAGGACATTATTAATATAATTAAGAGAAAGATTACCTGAGACTGAACTAGGGAGTCTGACACAGACAATAGGGATCAGGAAAGGGAATAAATTGGATAAATAAAATCATTCCAGAATATTATATCTGACTGAGCATAAAGGGTGCAGAGTCAGTGCAAAGGAAATTGATCATCTTCAGGTATGTTTCTGTGGATACTCAGGACATCAATGCTATACAGTTAATAGGAATAGGTTAAAAGAGCCGGGAAAAGAGGAAATGATGAAGAGCGCTGTTTTAAATATATCGAGTTTGACATGCTTCCAAGGATATTTAAGTGAGTGTGCCCAGCAGGCATTTGGATGTGTGATCTGAAACTCAGAGGTTGGGCGGTAGATATTGATTTAAAATTAATTACCGTAAAAGGCAATTACTATCTCAGTCAAGGAGGAGGTAATACAGAAGGGAAGACCATAAAAACCTTGGTGAATGGAAGTATTTCAGGGACAGCTGAAGGGATTCATAAAGGAGACTGAGAAGAGAGGCCAGAAAGCAAGGGGCAGGAGTGTGGGGCACCGCACAGACAGGAAGAAAAGGAAAGTAAGCGAAGCCAGGAGAGGAAGAGGGCGGAGGGCAGGGGGGTGAAATCAAGCCTCCACTCAGCCCCAAATTAGGAGATGGTGTGCACACCAGCTACAGCAAGCTAAGCGCAGAAAGGGTGTAGCCCTAAAAAAGAGGAGAGTTCAGGAAGCAACGTCCTAACAACAATGGTGGGCTCGAACACGGGACCCGGAGGGAGGATCACCTCTGCAGGTCACG